TACAAAACTTAATTACCTCAGTTGCAAGAAGCTCGAGCATGAGCGCACATTGTTTTGCCACCTTAAAATGGTAGCACACATTGTCTCCTTCATCTTTCCATGCATCCGGCACTTGAAGATGCCGGACCAGAGCAGGAACGGCACCACAATTCACTATCATTTTCACCAGACGCTCTGTGAGATAGAAGCCAAATCAGAAATTCAGCAACAACACAAAATACAAAAATCAAAGAAATCAGACAGCAACACGAAATAGTACCGTTCTCAGCGAGTTCAGAGAGAATGGTGACAGAATCTTTAATCAATGCACAATCAAACGCAGAGGGAGAGGGTAAGGGAACGCAACTGAGGAGAGAAACGTGTTCACGAATCTTCACAGAAATATTCGGGTGGCGTTGTTGAGAAGCGAAGTGCCGGGCCTTAGAACACGTTTGGTCTTCCCGTGACCAAGCTGCTCAGAATTTATTGCTTTAGGCACACTAAAGTTTGCCTTTGCCAGCTCCAACTGCACATTTGATCCTTTACCGACAACACAAGGTTGCTCCAACTTTCTAGCATCAGTTGCACATGTTGCATCCAGCTCCAGCTGAGTTGTGGTTCCTCCTGCAGCAAAAGGCTGCTCCAACATGCCAGCACCAGCTTCACATGTTTGAGACCTAAGAGTAGCTGGAATAGCTTCATCCAAGCCATCACAAAACTGATTAAATAATGTTTCCACTGAAACAAAAAACTGAATAGAATTAGGTAATGTATTAAACTCTTTTTATTTAATAAAAATTGTCTTTTTTGAAAATCATCATTCAAATCAATCATCCAAACAAAAGCTAGACTAATTATTCATCAAATACAAAGCCTTCTCAAAATATAAAGGGTCTTTAAATATCAATATTGCACCAAATTATTCAACGAACACAAGCCCTGTATCACACAGCAGATTATCACCATAAGAACAACAGATTATCTATTAATCTATTCAAAGAGATGACTACAAACTTTCACATTGGAGTGAGGGAAATTCAGACATACACTTTGAAGAACTACCACTATGAGGCAGAGAAGGCATTGATATCACATCTCCAGGCGTATGAGTTGAGGGTGTTGATGGTGCTGAACTTGGTGATGGACCTGGAACACCAGCCATTCTAGTTCTGAAAAAAAGAATTAGAGAAAAATTTGGAATCATAAACAAGATTCAGGCATTGACATTTGGCATGTGAAATACCGAACTTTATTAGTGCTTTCAAGCTCAACTCTAGGATATCATATCGGAAGGAAAACCTTACCCGTTCATATATATATAGCAGTCTATATATCTTACTTGTTGACTCTAACAAATTTTTCTCCTAACATAAAGGGCCCAGAGGTTGTTAAATGGTCTAGAGGATCATTTCCCTAGTTGAGGTTAATTACAAGTTATAGGGCTATATTATATATGCAAGACATGTGAAATATGTAACGTAACGTAACTCTATTACCCATTATTGATGAAAAATGTGTGGAGCCGTGGAAACATATGAGCAATGCAAAAGACAGCTAAGTTAGTTTAGGATGTGCCCAATCAGAACGTTTGATGGTTGGGTTATGCAATCCTCTCCATTTTTTTATTAAAGCATATATAATTAACTTTGGCATTACTCCATTATAACTCGTATAAGTAAAGGAAATTACTTCTTTGAAAAGTGAATCTTTCATGATCCAGTAACAAAGCAAGAATTCAATGTTCAAACAAAGAATAGGGGAATCATTACCTAACCCCACAAAACCCCCTATTTTCCCTTCTGCACAAATCTGTCGGTTGCACAAGCAAATAAAATGTTCCTAAGATGGAATATACATGATGATAATTGCTATATATAAAAATCTTATAAGAATAAAAAAATGAGAGGATCTTACACAAATAGTAGAACGTTGTTCAAACAGCAAAAGATTGGGCAAGCAGTTGTCGTGAACAGTAGAGCGTCGTGCAGCCAGAACAATGGGCTTGCGTCAACAACGAAAACCCTTGATAAAAGAACCTATTGAAGGACAGTGGCGTCGAGTGCTTTCCCGACGTAGATGAAGAAACGCTCCTTATGGTCCCACTCCAGCCTGGTGAGGTTGAAATACTAGCGGGCGACCTGGAGGACGATGAGGTCGACCTCCCAGGCGTGGAGGACGGCGGCGGGGTGGAGATCAAGGAGGAGGCGGGCGGCGGTGCCGACGCTGAAGCCGAGGAGGGCGACGGGGTCGGGGGAAAGGAGGAGAGGGAAAAATAAAGGTTAGGTTTATCAGGGAGAAGAGAACGAAAGTAGAGAAAGTGGAGAAGAGAACGAAAGGGGAGGAGAGGGAAAAATAGGGTTAGGACGCGATTTCGAAGAGGGTCAGGGAAAAAATGATTGAATTGATAAAAAAAGCGTGGGAAATGAAAAATAATCAAAAACAAAAAGGTGGGAAATGAAAAATAATCAAAAACAAAAA